GAAGAAATAAAGATAAAATATAGACTAGGAGACATTTGCAAGCCACATATCTGACAAAGGACCTCGTTTCTGGAATATATAAAGAACTCTTGAATCTCTACATTTAGTAAAGAAACAATACATTTAGGAAGCAGGCAAAACACATAAGTACACATTTCACTAAAGGGGATTTACAGATGGTAAAGAGGACGTGAAAAGCTGTTCAACATCATTAGCCACTAGAAAAATGTAAGTAACCCTCCACCCGTCGCACACAAAATAGTGACAGCATCAAATGCTGACAAGGATGTGGAGAAACTGGATCACTCATACATTGCTGGTGGGTATGTAAATGGTAGAGCTACCTTGTAAAAACAGCTTGGTAGTTTCTTATGATACTAAACATGTGTTACTATATGACCCAGGAATTGCACTCAGGCATTCTCTTAGAGAAATGAAAATTTGTATCTACATTAAAACCTTCAAATGAATGTTAGTAGCAGTTCTTTTGTAATAGCCCCAAATTGAAAACAACCATGGAATACTATTCAGCAGTAAAAAGGGATAAACTGTTGATGCACACAGCAATTTGGATTAATCTCCACAGAGTTAGACTAACTGAAAAAGGCCAGTCTCAAAAGGTTGCATATGTATGATAATATTTTAGACTTGAATAACAGAGTAGTGGTTCCCAGGGCTTGGGAGAGGATGGTGGGTATAAAAGGGCAATATACTAGATCTGAAACTATTGAGGTGCTGAAACTATTCTGTGTCTTGACTGTGGTGGTTGGTACATAACCTACACAGCAGAGAAAATTGTATAGAACTAAATACACATCCACATATACAAATTAGTACAAACAAAACTGTGGCAATCTGAACAAGATAGATGGATTGTACCAGTGTCACTATCCTGGTTATGTTATTATGCCATAGTTTTTACAGAGTGTTACATTTGGGAAATTGTGTAAAATGTGCCTCCTTACATTGTTTCTTACAACTGTATATGAGCCTACAATTATCTCAATGAAAATTTATGTTAAAAATAACAAAACAGTTAAAAAGAAAAGTCAGTGATGGCCCCTCTGCTGAGTTAAAACTGCCTCGCAGATATCTTATCCATTGTCAATATGAGATTATTCATAGAGAATCTTGTGGGGGGAAGTTGGGTTGATGAGAACCCAACCCAGGGTCACATGTTGAGGTTTTCATAACCAAAAGCAAACCTCTCCCTCTACCTACCTTTACCCCAGTCCTGGAGAAGTATGTATTTTTTTTATCTGAAAGTGACCAAGAAGCATAGTCTGATCACCTGCAATGACACTTTGCTCCTCTTCTCAAGCATATCCCTGGGGGAAGATGTACAGTATGTGACACTCACTGCTGCTCAGTGTGGTTTCCTGGTACTGCTGATTTGTGTACATGTCCCACCTGTACCATCTAGGATGGTGCAGATCTTGTCTTGTTTCTAAGCACCCGGTGCTGTGTACACAACTAACACATATGTAATTTGGTAGTAAATTTCATTTAGTTGATTTTTTTTCCTAACTACTTAAAATCTTCTGTTTAACAGTAATGCAGTATAAAAGGGTAGCCATGTTAAAAGTTTTTAGCAATATTATGGCCAACTTCAGTTTGTGTTAGCTAAAAGGAGTCACTATTAGGCATATACTTATTAAGGGTATGCTATAATGTATATGCAATAATTGACCAGATCAGAGGATTTGAATTCTGACTCTTGCTGCTTAATTCTGGAGTGCAGATTTAAATCATTTGGAGGCTTAGTTTTCTTATCTATAATATAATCCTGTATCTATCTCCAGTGTGTTAAGAACTGCAAGAGTCACTGGAGATAGAGACACAGTTGTTTAAAACAATTATGCACTTTGAATTATAATGCAAGGAGATGTTAGTACAAGTGAAAATAAAAATTGCTGATATCTGTTTATAAAACCGAGGTTATAGCATGGTTTTCAGTCTTGGCAGTATTTACATTTTAGATCAGATGATTCATTGGGGGTAGAGGAAAGTCTGTCTTGTGCATTGTAGGGTGCAGTCCGTGACCTCTACCCACTTGATGCTAGTAGCCCCCTGATTTGTGACAATCAAAAATACCTTTTTAGCTTTTTGAGAATTTGATGAAACCCAGAAACCTCCCCTCTCTCTTCCCTCACACAAAAATGCCTCTGGACATTGTCAGCATTCTCCTGGGGGAACAAAATTGCCTTCAATTGAGAACCACTGAGTTACAGGGATAAAATTATCATGTATTATTTTTACAAGATAATTTAGTAAATATGTGAGAGAATATCACATAGATATTTTTGAAGAGACTGGCCTATTTGATTGGAAGAATGGTTCATTTTCTTCCCATATATCCCTATTTGGTGTTGAAGGGTGCTTTCTGAAAGAGATTGTACTCGGATTGGTCTGGAATCTGTAGCCTAGTGGTAAATGAGGCTGAGGCTGGAGTCCTAAAATGTAACAGAAGCGTGAGGTCTGAATTGTGTGTGGAAAAGAGTCTCTGTTCTCAGGAGACATGGTGATTAGAGAATTTGCAAGTTGAGAATTACTAACTTTTTCTGTGATTCAGTGACATTTCCTCTAAAATGTTGTAGTTATGTCTTAATATTTGATAGGAGGTTCAAAAATACATGGCACAGGCATTTTCTAGGGCCCTGAGTACTCTTGATAGACGCTTATTTCTGGATGTGAATTTATAAAGTTTAAAAACTCCTGTCAATCAGGAGGTGAAATGTGAAACTTCATTGTCTTCTAGGGATTGCTTTACTGTCTAATGAGGTGGATCATTTTCTTCATATGATTATTGGCCATTTATTTTTCTTTAGTGAATTGTCTATTCTTACCCTTGGCTTACAGTTCAGTCACAGTATTTTTTCCTGTTTTCTTTTCACTGTTGTGCTATAAAAATGTTTTCATATCAAGTATTTTCATTGTAAAGTTATTAATGTAATCCTTATTTGCTTGCTCTTTGACTTTTGACATTTCTGCATTATTTTGTATTAAGTATTTATAGATGGGTTTTAACTTGTCACAATTCTTTTGTCTTTTTTAAATAGATAAGTTTATTTTATTTTACTGTAAATGTGTTTAATCTTTTCCATCTAAGTTTTTATGCTTTTTTATTGTTTCATTTGTTTATAATCTCTTGATATAGGGGCTCAATTTTCAGATATACTTTTAAGATATGTTTATAAGCCTTTATTTCTCAAATTAATTTAGAAAAAAATAGTATCTATTGTGATCTTCCCCATTCTCTCAACACGTAAGGCTGTGTTGAGAGAATGCTTTTGTATCTCTTGGGTAGATATCTAGGAATAGAGTGACTGAAACATTTTATATAAATGGAATCATAGGGAATGTATCTTTTTTAGGGTTTGTGTTATTTCATTCAGCATAATTATTTGGCGATTCATCCATGGGCATGAAGCAGTATCATTGTGGTTTTGATTTACATTTCCCTAGTGATTAGTAATGTTGAGCATCTTTTTATGTGCCTGCTGGCAATTTATTTATTTCCTTTGGAGAAATGTCTGAGTTCTTTGCCCATTTTTTAATCAGGTTGTTGTTTTTTTTTTTTTGTCTTACTGAGTTGTAGGAATTTTTTAATATATTCTAGGTTATTGATATCTTATCAGGTATATGATTTACAAATATTTTCTCTCATTCTGTGGGGTATGTACATAATTTTCATAATAAAAAAGATAAATTTTTCTTCACAGAATATAGAAGAGTTCAATGAATACCCACTTGTCTACCACTCAGACCCAATAGTTATTAACATTTTGTCATATTTACATAAAAAATTATTTTGCAGAAACATTTTAAGGAAAATTACAGACACCCTTACACTTTAACTGGTATGCATCTTCTAAAAATAAGGACATTTTCCCACATCTGCCATATTTTCCCTGTATACATTCTCCACAATACCGTTTCAAAATAACATATATTATTGGGAAAAAATAATGGCACATTTCTGCTGCTTTTTCTCATTATTACATAGCAGCTGACCTTTTAGGAGAAGTTCACCGATGGTGTTCCTTAGAGTGTTGGCATTTTCTCATACATCATTAAGAACTTCCTTTCCTTCATCACCTGAACTACAGCTGTTGCCTTACTTCCTTCTTTCTCTGTTATCCTCATCTAATCGATCCTCTATGCTACAGCCAGAACAATATCTTTAAAACTTAAAGTAGACCCTGTCTATCTCTGTTTCTCTCTCTCTTACTCCTTCACACTCCTTGTATTGCATTTAGAGTGCAACACAGTCCAGACTTCTTGCCATGACTTCTCAATAGGGCACAGCATTATTTGTCCTCGGCCTAGACATCCAGCCTCTCTTTCCCTTCTCTCTAAGCTTCAGCCAGATAGACCTGCTGTCTGTCTGTCAAACACACCCAGCTCTTTCCTCTGTGAGGGCTTTCGCATATGATATTTTCCTTCACCACTACTCGTCCCACTGCCACACTGCTCTCTTTTTAATCCCTTGAGTTTCATATAAGTATCATCTCTTCAGACAGCCCTTCCCTCGTGACATACTTAAGTGTATCACCTATTTAATTTTTTTCACAGCACCTTTCCAATATTTTTATAATTCTATAAAAATGTATAAATACATATTTAGTTTTCAGATGACCGTCTGCACGCACATCCCCTGTGCTCTGTAACAGCGGAACCATTGCACACTGGCACCTGGCACCGTTGGTAAAGATCAAGATGAAAGGCCTGGTAGCTTCACAAAGTGATGGTAGAGATGACTGTTCCCATGGGATGTATTGGTTTGGCAAACTTTATTCTAAAAACCAGTCGCATTACTTTATACTACTTCCTTGGCTGTTTAAAATTTGGTCCAGATCATTCTCTCATTTGAATTATGGGAAATCCAAGTGGATATAAGATCAAAGTTGAATTACAGTAAAATATTTTGGATATTTCATATGTCTGTAGCATAATTACTTGGTTTCAATATTTTCATTATTATTTTCTTCTTTTCACAGACTGAGACAACACTTGGACTCAGTTCGTATCAGCAGAAAAGGTAAAGCTTTCTCTTATATAACATACTTTCAGCTCCTTCTGGGGAATTCCTGCAGATCCCCCCCTCTTTTCCCCCTGACTTTTTGGTGAAGAGGGAATAGCAAATTATGTTACATTATATCTTGTATTTCTCTGCATTGTGTATGGAAAACCAGATTTAAGTCTGAATTTATGTGTCATAAATTCACAGTTGTGTATCATGCTTTGTCTGGTGTGCACAGAGGAGCGCTTTTACTCAGAACTGAAACTCCTCTTGTTTTGTGAGGGATCAGCTTTGTAACTCCTTAGTGACTTCTCCTGTGGCTGTTCCTGATTTACATGAACTGACCACTGCTGCTCTCAGTTGCCAGGGATCTACCTGCAAACCCCCAGAGAAGGAACTCAGTCAGAGCCAGGAGTCTTGGGCCCTTTTAAACACAGGCCCCTTTTAAACACAGCTTCCCTGTGAAAACAGGGGAGTTGTTTGACCTCAGGTACCTTGAAAATATGTGCATGCATGTGAATTTGAAGACATCTTCCCTATCCCCAAATTCTTTTGGTACCTTGTCATATCTTTATTTTTTGAAAATTTATGTTTTATTTTAAAAATGTGCGATATAATTAGGATTAGGTATACAAGTGGGCATCATTCAGATAAAGTTTGAGCCTCTCCTTGGTCTCCACTTTGCCTGGTTTGAGATCAGGTACCCTTATTGATGTTGTGTCTCCCTCCCC